GTCCAGTGGGGTAAATAGAGTCTGAGAGGCCATCAGAGGTACTGTTTGACGATCTGGCTGGGACCACGGGCTGCTAGCCGTTGGCCTGGTTCTCTGCTCCACTGCTGTAGGAGAGTAGCCTGGGTTCCCAGGCCCTTTTCAGGAAGAGGTCAAGTCCCTTAAGTACCTGAAAAGTCAGATGACAGCCAGAGCACTGAGCCTTCCTGGGTCCTTTCCTCCTTGCCTATTTTCTGGGTGACCACCGTCAAGTCAGTTAACCCTTTTGCATCTCAGTTTCCTCACCTGTCAAATGCAGATAATGATACTTTATCCCCCAACTTCATGGGGTTTTTGAGAGGATTGAGTCAATGGTGGATGTCAAAACATTAGAAAAAGCATGAAACAGTACTGAAATTGAAGTTAGTAGGGTGATCCAAGACCACATTACTATGAGGAAGCCTAACTACCTCTTGCTTGTGATGCCCATTGTCACACCCCATGATTTTTTTCCCAGCTATTCAGGCATGGTCTGCAGAGTTGCTTGGAACCTCATCTCTTTTTGTGGGATTTTACATTTTCCTCTGAGAACATAAAATAATAGTCGAGCATCATCTGGATCCATGGGAAATTTTCCTTCTGCGTGGGTTTTTATTTTCAAGAACCAGAGCCAGTGTCTGTCCAGGGTCCACAGTTGTCCCAAATCCCACTCTGGGAGTTCTGCCATCTGCCATCTGCCATCTGCCATCTTTTGGTTTCAGCTCTTGGCACAAGGCAGGCGTGGGCTCCCAGGCCGGGAGAGCCCATAAATGCCTCCTCTTATTAGTACATAGCCTTGCTTCTGTGCCTGTTCTGTAGGGAACAAGGAGGCAGCTGACCTTCCCCTGGGTGTCCTTATTTCTCTGGGCTTCCCCTTGGTGTGTGTGTGTGTGTGTGTGTGTGTGTGTGTGTGTGTGTACATGTGTGCGCGCACTGTGGGCTGTGTAAGCCTGAAGGCTTGGCCTCTTGCCAGCTGCTGGAATTGAGTTACTCACCCAGCCATTTTCATTCTCCACTCGCTACCAGGGTATACAGCATGGTGCTCATGCCAACTTGAAACTGTGCTCTGCCTTGGTAATCCAGAGCTTCCATTTGGAGAGAGAGAGATGGGAAACAGGAGTGAACATGTGGGCGTGTTGGATGGAGGGAGGTTGGAGACTTTTTTGGCAATGTATGACAAAAAATATTGGCCCAATTGCTTGGTCTTCACCCAAAAGTAGGACTAACTCTGGACTGACCCCAAATATCCAGTGGGAAAACTAGTTCTTTTTGGATCTAGATCACATTGGATCTAGCAATCATTTTTTTTTCATTTGGAAATTAGGAATAATAAATTCTATTCCATATGTTCTTCATGTCAACTGATAAATAAGCTTTTAAATAGTTCACCAGCTACTCACCTGGAACAGGAGGTGAAATAACATTGTCTTTCTTCCAGTATATTCTGCAGAATACTGAGTGTTATTTGTAAAAAGGCACTGGCTAACTAAGTTTGGGAAACACTGTATAAACAATTGTAATTGTAGAGACCACCCAGGTCTTTCATATACCACTAATATACATGGTGAGTCTTCAAAAGAATATATTGTATGGAATATTTCTTACCCTTTTAACCAACTTTCATTATCTTTTTAAAAAATCTTTTTTATTTTTAATTACATTTGATATACAATATTATATTAGTTTCAGGTGTTCAACCCAGTGATTAGACATTACATAATTTACTAAGTGATCATCCCAATAAATCTTGTACCCATCTGACACTACACATAGTTATTAGAATATTATTGACTATATTCCCTATGTTGTATATTACATTCCCATAACTATTCTGTAACAGCCAATTTGTACTTCTTAATCCCTTCAACTTTTTCACTCAAAAAAAAAAAAAACCGGACCCTTTTTTTTAATGATGTTTACTTTGAATTTATATTAGTTCACACAAACACTCCATCCATGCTTTTGTTCCGGCCCTCCGGTCCAGTTTAAGAACCCATTGTGGCCCTCGAGTCAAAAAGTTTGCCCACCCCTGCCCTAACCCATCTCCCATGTGGTAACTATCAAAATGGTCTTTGTATCTATGAGTCTGTTCTGCTTGTTTATTTTGTTTTTTTAGATTCAATTGTTGAGAGATAGGTATTTATTGCCATTTTGTTGTTCATATTTTTTATCTTTTCCCCCTCTTATTCTTAAAGAAGACTCTTTAACATTTCTTGTAATACTGGTTTGATGGTGACAAACTCCTTTAGCTTTTTCTTGTCTGGGAAGTGCTTTATCTGTCCTCGATTCTAAATGATAGCTTTGCTGGGTAGAATAATCTTGGTTGTAGGGCCTTGCTTTTCATGACTTTGAATATTTCTTGCTAATCCCTTGTGGCCTGCAAAGTTTCTGCTGAGAAATTAGTTGACAGTCTTATGGGAGCTCTTTTGTAGGTAACTAACTGCTTTTCTCTTGCTGCTTTTAAGATTCTTTGTCTTTAATATTTTGCATTTTAATTATGATGTATCTTGATGTGGCACTCTTTGGGTTCATCTTGTTTGGGACTTTCTGCGCTTCCTAGACTTGAATGTCCATTTCCTTCACCAAGTTAGAGAAGTTTTCTGTCATCATTTTTTCAAGTAGGTTTTCAATTCCTTGCTCTCTCTCTTCTTCTTTCAGCACCCCCATGTTGTGAATGTTGGTATGCTTGAAGTTGTCCCAGAGGCTCCTTACACTATTCTCATTTTTTAAAATATATTTTCTTTTTCTGTTCTGATTGTATATTTTATGCTTTTTTATCTTCCAAATCACTTATTTCATCCTCTGCTTTATCGACTCTACTGTTTATTCCCTGTAATGCAGTGGTTCTCAACCTGTGGGTTGCGACCCCTTTGGGGGTCGAATGACCCTTTCACAGGGGTCGCCTGAATACATCTTGCATATCAGATATTTACATTACAATTCATAACAGTAGCAAAATTACAGTTATGAAGTAGCAACGGAAATAATTTTATGGTTGGGGGTCACCACAACATGAGGAACTGTGTTAAAGGGTCGCGGCATTAGGAAGGTTGAGAACCACTGCTATAATGTATTCTTCATTATCCTATATAATAAAAAGCCTAATATGCTAAGTGTCTGTTCGTCCATTTGGCTGTTCAACCAGTCAAAGCGTAATATGCTAATGATATGCTAAGGCCGCTCACCTGCTCGCTATGATGTGCACTAACCACCAGGGGTCAGACAGTTGACTGGTTTACCAGTCGCTATGATGTGCACTGACCACCAGGGGGCAGATGCTCTGACTGGTAGGTTAGCTGGCTTAGGCCTGGCTGGGAGCAGGCCTAAGCCATCAGTCAGACACCCCAAAAGGGCTCCAGGACTGTGAGAGGGTGCAGGCCAGGCTGAGGGACCCCCTCCCCCATGGAGTGCATGGATTTCATGCACAGGGCCTCTAGTAGTTACTATATCCTTCATTTATGACTGGTTCTTTTTTTGTGGCTTCTATTTCTTTTTTTCATGCTATTGAAGTTCTCACTAAGTTCCTTGAGCATCCTTATAAGCAGTTCTGAACTCTGTATCTGGTCATTAGCTTGCCTTAGTTCTTTTTCTGGAGATTTCTCATGTTCTTTCATTTGGGACCTGTTTATGTTTCTCTATATTTTGGCTGCTTCCCAGTTTTAGTTTCTATATATTATCTAGAGCTGCTATGTCTCCTGGAATTGGTAGAGTGGCCTTGTGTAGTAGGTGTCCTGTAGGGCCCAGTGGCACAGCTTCCCCAGTCACTTGAGCTGGGCACTCCAGGTGTGCACAGTCTTATTGTAGTTGAGCCTTGATTGCTGTTGGCACATCACTGGGAGGGATTGACTCCCATGCTGACCAGCCATGACTATATCAGAGGAGCTGCTATGCAGGATTCAACCCTAACAGGACTTGCTTCAGTGGGTCTTTGGTGCTCACTGAGTATGGCTCTTGATTGTGTCACTCGTGGAGGTGGTGGGGTTTTAATCCAGTTTGGTATGAATCTTTCCATTGGGTGCACTGGCTCTGGGGATTTCTGGGAGGTGCAAGGTCAGCCACTGCCTGTGCGCAGCTTGGAGCCACCTGGTACAGGCTACAGAGTGTTTTGCAGATTGTTGCTACTTGTGCTTGGCTTGGAAGTGCCAAGGAGAGACCACGCTGTGAACCAGTGCCAGGCTTCTACTAGTGCTAGGCCTGGGTTTACTTAGCAAGATGTATAGAGTATGCAGAGGCCAGATGCATCTTGTTAGAGAGATTTAGGAAAGTCTGAAGTATGAGGCAAGACAGGCTGTTCATATTGAAAAGCCACTGGAAACAACTCAAGTGGGCTCAAAAGTTGGGTGGAGCAGAGTTTCAGGGAATCACCAAGATGGGGCAAACAGTGTGTGCCAGGTTGATGGATACTCAGATATGGCACCTGCCTTTCAGCTCTATGGGGGTGAGTCTCAGAAAAGGAGCAATGGCCTCTGCCAGCACTTCTGTCTGGAAGAAAGCTGCCCACCCACCATCTCTCTCCCTGATGCCAGACAATTCAATTCCTCCCATATGTCCCTGATTCTGTTCAAGCTGCTGCCCCAGTACTGGAACTCAGAAGGAGAGAGTCCAAGTAAGTCTGTGTTTGGTCCCTTTAAAAAGAACTTCCTGTGACTCCAGAGCCCTCCATCTCACTCAGCCACAATCCCCACTGGTTTTTACAGACAGAAGTTACGGGGTAACCAACTTTCTTAGTGGAACATTTTTCAAGTACCATTTCTGCAAAATACACATTGGAAGATGCCAGCCTAGGTCATAGGTATATTCATTTCACTTGTTTTTTTGTTTGTTTGTTTTTTGTTGTTTTTTTGTCTGATTGTGAAGGGAGGTGAACTGGTGAAATGCATGGGTTTGCTAAGATGTGGCTTGTAAAGAGCAAGAGTGTTCAAGTTCAGAATCTGTGGAAATGTGTGCTTTCTGTTCTGAAACACCTCTCTCTCCTGTCCTTACAGCTCCCCTTTGAATTGGAGGTATATTACATTCAGCATGTTATGCTCTACGTGGTGCCCATCTACCTGCTTTGGAAAGGAGGTAAGGCCAGCAAAAACCACACCCCTGTGCCACCCCAACACCTAGATGCTCCCTTCTGTTTTGAGGAGTCATAACCTCTTGGCTGCCTACAAGGATCTTAAGGTGCTGCCTGGCTGGGTTTATGCAGCATGCTTTATGCCAGACAGTGGGAAATGGGCATGGACGGGGCCTGCAAAGAGTCTGGGGGCTTTTCAGAACCATCTTTTGTGGATGAGCTTGGTGCTGCTGACTGCCTGTGCCAGGGCCTAGGCCTTGGGTTCTTTGTCTGTGGTTGTTTGGGTTTGCATGAAACTTCCCACACTCTGTCACTCACTTGTGCTTGTGCCTTCCCCTTGTCTTAGTGTGAGTATAGGGTGGAAGGAGAGTAGGAAGCACTCAGTTCTCTTAAGAGACAGACCTTGTGCTCTTGCTCATTATATCCATCCTTTCAGAACCAAAGAAATACTGAAAGAGGCAAGAAGTCCAGGACTGTGGGGTTATGGGATTGAGGGAAGAGATGGGTGAAAGCAGTGACCTTCATGTAAAATAAATTATTGAAAACCTTCATTTGGTCATGAGGGTGAGACCACCAACCTGGGAGAGGTGGCCTAGAATGGAAACTGTTTTGTGACCATGCAATGTCCCTTAAATTATCCCTTCTCTCTATTGTATAGTAGACAAAAGGGAAGGGTAGTTCCTATCCTTTTTAGGCTAAGTATGAGAGCAGCTCTTTCTGTGTTCTTACCATCCTGTAAGGCCTATACCTGGAAGACATCCTTTTCTACTCTTAGCCACCAACCTCTTTATTTGTATTGCTGGGAGTTTTCTCAGAGATCAACCCTCCCTACCTTACCCCAGGCAGCAAGGGTTTCATTTATATTGCATTAAATATGACACAAGTACACATGGACCCTTGAGCCCAGTGAAAGATGGTTTGGAAGTGTGCTTCCTCTCACTCAGGAATCCTTAAGAACTTCTGGCATGGTACAGCCTCAGGACCATCAATCTAGGGACATGTTGGAGGAAGCACATTGTTACTGTCTATGTCTGCTACTACCAGCCCAGAGATTTGCCCCCTGTCCTTGGTTTCTCTCAATTGTGATTCTTAGGAGTTATCTAAATACTAGTGGCACGGTACACAAATTTTTGCACATTGAAAGGAAATTAATTAGAAGAAATATTTTATTTATTTTATTTTAAAAAAATATATTTTGTTGATTTCAGAGAGGAAGGGAGAGGGAGAGATTGAAACATCAATGATGAGAGCGAATCATTGACTGGCTGCATCCTGCATGCCCCTACTGGGGATCGAGCCCGCAACCCAGGCATGTGCCCTTGACCAGAATTGAACCTGGGACCCTTCAGTCTGCAGGCTGATGCTCTATCCATTGAGCCAAACCAGCTAGGGCTAATTAGAAGAAATATTTTAATACTAGTAGCCCGGTGTATGAAATTCATGCACATTAAAAGGGAATTAATTGCCCTAACCGGTTTGTCTCAGTAGATAGAGCATCGGCATGCAGATTCAAGGGTCCCAGGTTCGATTCCAGTCAAGGCCATGTACCTTGGTTGCGGGCACATCCCCAGTGGGAAGTGTGCATGAGGCAGCTGATCGATGTTTCTCTCTCATTGATGTTTCTAACTCTCTATCCCTCTCCCTTCCTCTCTGTAAAAAATCAATAAAATATATTTTTTTAAAAAAGGGAATTAATTAGCGGAGATATTTTA